TGAGTATGTTTGCTGTTTCCAAATGATTCTAGAAAGCAATGTATTTTCAACCCTCAAATCAGTGTGCATGAGATCCCAAACTGGGATGTGCAATGGCTGAAGCAGAGTGGGCAGTGAGTATAAATAAGAGCCCCCAACAGTTGGGTGGGGATTGTCTGGCCTGCAGGCCATATAAGGTCAGTGAAATCATTTGGTCTGGCCCTGCCAAGGCATTAGGGGTGAGTTAATTGTTTGACCAAACATAGCAGGCTAATTTTTAAGTTGATAACTTTGTATGGCCTGTGAATGATGTTATAAATATCCAAATGGCCCTTGTCAACAAAAAGGTTCTCCACCCCTGAAAAGGATGCAGATCTCAACAACCCAGAAAATGTCCTACTTGCTGTTACATCTTCCCCTTATGACAGTGGTTCTCAACCTTCTGGCCCTTTAAATACAGTTCCTCATGTTGTGACCCAACCATAAAATTATTTTCGTTGCTACTTCATAACTGTAATGTTGCTACTGTTATGAATCATAATGTAAATATCTGATATGCAGGATGGTCTTAGGCGACCCCTGTGAAAGGGTCGTTCGACCGCAAAAGGGGTCGCGGCCCACAGGTTGAAAACCGCTGCCTTAAGAGCTGCTCCTCATGGCATCCTCAGAACTTCAGCCCTAGGTCAGGCCAGAGGGTTGGGATTGAAGGTGGATTCGAGGCAAAGAGACTTAACTATCCTGCTGGTCCTGAGCATCTTGCACGTGCTGCCCTACATATCTTGGGAAGCACTAATTAGAGTATGGAACCAACATAGAATGTTAAAACGTGACTCTTTAGTCAAAGAACTAGAGCAATGTTTTCAAACTATGAGTTATAAACCTGTAGTGGGTTCTGAAATCACTTTATAGGCTTGTGGCCACATGTTTTTTTCAAGAGGATAAAGTAGAACAGGAGAATATAGAAAATAAAATATCAGAACACATTATACAAAGCAAGAATAGGTATTGTATTGTGAACTTATTTGGGGTGTGTGCATGTAAATACAGATATACATACATAAATACATATATAAACACACAGTGACTACATATATACACAGTACTTATAAATGTATAAATGGATTCCACATTCTTTCTCTGGCCAGGGAAAAACTTATTCCATTACCCCAAACTGGGACAAGAAATGCTTTCTAACTAATGGCAATGCAATGAGGTCATTAACAAGTGTTTCCTTTATGACTATTCACGATGGTATTTTATTGAAAATTAGTAGTTTGCCTGATAATCATATTGTCAAGGCTCAGGGCAGGCTGCCCCGAGACAGCCCACAATGGCAGATTGCTTAATTTGAACTAAAGTCACCTGAGGAGCAGGAAGAACTCCCTAACTCTCCTGACTGCTCAAAAACAGGAAATAAAGCTCTATTCAGGTGTTCTCTCTGCTCCTGAAGGACTGAGAGGCAACCTTATCACAAAAGGTATAAAATCCAGGGTTGAAAAAACGTGTTTAAACAAACCTTATAACGCCCAACTTTTGTGCAGGTTCCTCATTGCTGAATCCCCAAACTTGCTTAGATTCCTTTCTAATGAGCACTTTGTTTGTCTTGTTGATTTTCTCAAAAATTTCTTGTTTCTTTGTCTAAAAAGTATAGATAGGTCCTAGTTCAATCATTTCTTTGGGCCTCATTTTATGATGTCAGCATCAAGTTGTGAATCTCCTGTGCACATATTAAATTGTTTTTCTTCTGTTGATCTAGTCTTGTGTCAATTTTCTTATTTTATAAGTAGTCCAGTCATAAGAACTAAAGGAGCATAGAGTGTGGGAAATCTCTCCCACTCTGCAACAATATTAAATGACTAATTTTTTTAAAAAAAGAACATTTTGAGTAGTGTAATAAATTAGTTTTTTAAAGTTTTCTCCTTATTTCCTCTGCATTTTCTGTTATCTATAATAAGCATGCATGCATTGTCTTTTATAATGAGAGAAAAATGTATATATCTTTAAAACCAAGTAAACCTCAATGCTCTATGCATCATCAAAGAGGAAACTTTTTTTTTTTTTAATCACAAAGACCTTAGAAGGGGTGGTTGGCTGAGGAACCAGAAAGTAGAAAATGTGGAACAACTTCCAAGAGCAAAATAATCTCTGGTGGTTTTGGTTTTTGATGGGGTTCTTGACTGTGCAGTAAGTGCCTAGTTTGTGAACATTTACTACTGACTGAAGTGCTTCAAGCCAGTAAAAATAAATAAAGTAAAATAAAATAAAATATTTAAGTATGTTCAACCTTTATCACTCCATAAATGTTTAAAATAGCAAACAGCTACAGTAAACTGCACCTGACTTGGCCATTTCTCAGCAGG